GCCTGTGCAAAATATGACCTGCAGGCCAGATCCAGCCGTGAAAGCCTCAGTTGACTCCCTGCCTGCCCCACACACGCTTGGCACTCTGGAAAGCTAAGTGCAAGGACAGGTGTGTGTTTGTGAACACTGAGAGCCAAGAGGGAAGAGAGACAGGCTTCTCATACTGCCCCCACCCCCAGTAGCTCCCATTGGCCAGTTTTGATCATTAGCAACTGCCTGCTTGCAGGACAGGCAGCATGTGAAGTACTTCTCCTCCCCCAGGGCTCACAGAATTCAGTTTAGAGTGATAAACAGGGCTCCTGCAGTTCTTCTGAGCAAGTATAGGGGCTAGAAGGCAGAGACCCAGGTAAGGTCTCCCAGCCAAAGCCTATCTCTGGAACCCCAGCCCCTCCCTTTGTCCCAGAACCTTCTGTCCCCGTTCTGCCCTCCTACCCCATGTAACCCAAAGCTTCTGCACCCTTGCTCCAGCCCCCATATACCTTCCCAGGCCCTGCATCCCTTCCTCACCCCAGTCTGTTGCCCCAGGTCACAATCCCCTTCTTCACCCAAACTCACTCCTATATCACACACCCCACTCACTTACCCCAATTCTCCCTTCTGCACCCAACCTCCATCCCAGACCCCTTCACCTCTTCCATTAATATAATGGAAGAGTCCGCTCTCAACCACTTACTAAATTCTTGGAATGTTCCCTTATCAAGAATTATTGCCCATCCCGTGTTAATGTCTTAAGGTAAGAAAGAAAAAGATCCTTTTAACAGAATTTTTTTGAGTGTTGCAGATATCTAAAACTTGGATCTTAATGATTTTTTTAAAAAAATCTTGTGTTGCTAATTAATACACGGTAAACTGTATTGCATTAAGGCCAGATCTTTGCTATCTGGTAGAGTTCGGGCTCAGAGCCAGAAGCAGCAAGTACTAGGTGTGATGAAACCTTAGCATGAACTAAAGATGAAACCTTATTTGCAAGATCTTTGAAACATGCATCTGTCTCTTATGAGAGGATGATGATACATGTACTCCAAAGTCTTAGATGAGTAACTGTGTTAGTCTGTACCTAAATAAACTTAAAAAACAACAATGGTCCTGGAGCACCTTTAAATATGTAAATATTATCATGAGCTTAGATGGGCACAACCCACTTCTTCAGCCAAGTGTGCTGTTAATTTTCTTTTTATTTGATTTCACATTAAATAATAATAAGTACTACTCCTTGTTAATTATCACTGGTTTTAATATATTTTCTTCCACACCTATGGATTATTTAAAATATTTATTTATATCTATGGTTTTTGTTTGTATTGGTGGGTGCGTATCCACACACTACCTCAATATTGGTATTGCACACAAGAAATTTCAACCTGCCTCTGACAGGGCATCACGACCCCACACTTTTAAAAGCCCCCACGCCGGCCTGGTATGGAGGGTGGCGAGCGGGGGGGCGCACATGCACAGCGCATTCGAACACCGCCAAACAGCTGGGAGGGAGAGAAGATAAGGACAGGCCAGTCCTGGGCGGAGGAAGGAGAGGGCTGTGAGCAAGAGAGCGCAGGCACACCATGTTCCTGCGGTGGCCAATCAATGGAGGGGAAGGATGTCCTGAGTGATGTGGGCTCCGCCCGATGCTGTAAAAAAGGGGGGGGTTCAGAGGAGGAGGGAGAGGAGAATGGACCGGGGGGTGTGGGAACCTCAAGTAAGGAGATGGGGGGGAGGTAAGAGAAGGTAGGTAAGGCACAAGAGGCAGGAACTTAGGACAAGGGGGAGAGGAAGCAGCCCAGGGCAGGGCATATGTGAAGCCCTCAAGGCTGGCGCATTTCAGCGGGAAGCCTCGCCAGCCAGAACAGACTCAGACAGGTCTTCTTCCTTAGGGCCCTGGGCTGGGGTCCGTGAGCGAGGGCGGGCCTGGACCCCCCCCACCACCATAGAAGGCTGTGTCAATTGAGTCCCAGCAGAGGGACACCCCAATCATTTAAGTAAAACAGTGAAAAGACCATCCAACTGTAAAGTGAAGGGCACTGGGTGCAAGTGAAAACACAGGGTTAAGAACCAAACTTTTACACTGCCCAAAAGAAGATTCAACCTGCCCAAGGATGGAAAATCTTAGAGGGAACACTGGTGGCAACAGGCCACCAATGTTTACAAATGGGTCCTGAACCCAAAGAAGTTGTGAACCACTGTACTACAGCTCAGTTTGGCTATGCTGAAAAAGGTTTTATACCATGGATTTATACCTAAAGTGATACAGAAGTGCAAATCCCACTGGATTACAATGGGATTTGTGTGCCTCTGCTTCTAGCAAAAATCCCACCCTACAAGTACAATTTCTATATGGGCAGAAGCAGCCCTCTGTGCACAACACTTTGCAATTGTGAACTCCAGCAAAGCCTGTGCACAAAGCTCAAGAGATTGCTTGAAACCACAGGCTCCTGAATTGCATGGCAATTCTTAATCTCTTCTCTCTCCATTTGTACACCATTTCATTGCCACAGCTCACAGACCAGAGTTAGTCTAGTTCAACCATTTTAGTGCCATAGGAAATCAGCTAAGGTTTGGCTATTGTTGAATGGTTCCATTATTAAAAATTATCATTATATTCAGGAAAAAAAGTCCATGTGTACAAGCACATTCATTTGGCACTCACAAAAGGTGTTTCACTTCTGCATACCTAATGGATATGACAGCATCACAAAAGAACTAACACAAAGCATGCAAAACTCAGAATTAAAATGCAAGTCTAGGTCCTATGTGTCTCATCTCTATAAAAATTATGAGAAGAGCAAATCGATTCTTTACATTTCTTCAGCTACCAATACCTTTTCATAGATTAAAATAAATGATTAGATGTCATTTGTTATCCCAGATGAATGGACTGGAGCATATTAGTATCAGTTCTGAATGTATCATTTCTGGGACACTTAAGTTTGTGTAACCCACACAAATAGTAAGAGATAAGAATGAGAGAGCTCTACATTTTAAGAAGAGCCTGGTGGCTTTATAGCTGAGCTGTAGAATCTCCTACACTAGGCTCCAGAGGTCCTAGGTTCAAATCTAACAACTGGTAGCCTTGCTCTAAGACAAATATGAATTTAGCTTTTATTTAATTTCAAGTTTCCAATCATCATCTAATTTAAATAAAAGCCTCAGTTAACAACCAGTAAAACTGTATAAGGTGCCACAGGACTCCTTGTCGCTTTTACTAAAACTGTTGTTACTTCTATTTTAATACCTTCTCAGAATGTTAACAACAAATGCAGAAGACAGCTTGGATTGGCACTATGTTTAAATATGATCCAAAAGCCCCACAATAAGAAAAATAAATAAATACTAAGAGACAGCTTTACTCTTAGTCAGCCTGCAAGACAAAAATAAAATACTTTAAAAGGACACTAAACTTTAAATCTAGCATAACTCCAGCAAAGCTACTAGTTGAGCATCCAGGAAACATGCTCTCTTCACTATAGGAGCCTTGAATTCTAGGTGTTCTTCATTTACATCGTGATCCTGAAAACTGATCAGCGTCTTCCTGAACTGCCAGAAGAGCTTGTACAGGTTGAACCTCTGTAAATTGTTACTCTCTTGTCTGGCATCTTTCGTGGTCTATACCAGAGAGTCCCAGCACTGGTACCTAGAAGCCCTGCAGGCTGGTAGGGCAGCATGCTGCTACCAGTGAATTGTCAGTGGGAACAGCAGCCTGGCTCCCCACTGCTGGGCTCTGCCTGCCCTTGCTGGGATGGCCTATGTGCCCCAGCTGCACACCCCAGTGGGACTATCCGTGGGGCTGAGAGCCTGATGCACCACTGCGAAGTTGTTCAGTGGGGCTGCCCAAGGGAGTCTGAAGTGCCTCATCAGGGCTGTACTGCGCACCCCAGCTGGGCTGCCCAGTGTGTCAGGCAAGGGGCGGTGGGGACCAGCAGGGTAGCGGGGCCTGAGGAGGGTCCAGGCTGAGTTGGGTAGCAGTGGGGGCAGGTATGATCTCCCTTTGTCTGGCAAAATCCCTCATCCGGGACCAGTCAGGTCCTGAGGATGCCGGACCACAGAGGTCCAACCTGTAGGATCAATGTCTTATCTCTGCATCACACCCCTCGCATTTCAACTGGCTACATGCTGTTCTTAACTTCCAACCATGTACTGCTGGAAAATACACAAGTTATTACCTCCCTGGTAATATGTATGTTCACCAGTGAAGAAGTACTTGGCAGAAGATAAAGAAAAGCAATGATGAAATCTCTCCCACCATTAACTTCTGCATTTCCACGTAAAAAACTATGAATGGGACACATCTAGCCCATTTAATTAGCCCAATTAACATGGGTCCTACAATTGACAGTTACTATGTACGGTGTTATATCTCTATCTATCTAGCTACCTTGATTTCTGTTATTTCTACTCCAATTTATCTGATAAAGTGGGTTTTACCCACTAAAGCTCATGATTCTATACCTTTTGGCTCATCTGTATAATGCCACAGGACTATTCATTGTTTTTAATGATGAAATTTGTTTCATAGGAGAAAGGATTAGATCCACACTTGTCACAAAGCACAAAAACCAAGAGTTACTCAATAAAATAAATATGCAGTAGGTTGAAAACATAATTAATTACTTCTTCACACAATGCAGTAGGCCTGTGGAACTTGTTACCAAGGGATGTTGTAAAGGCTAAAACTATAATGGATTCAGAAAAGAATTAGATCTATCTTCTGTGAAATTATCTATCAATGGCTATTAGCCAAGATGGCCATGTATGGATTCCAGAAGCTAGGACTGGACGAAAAGGGATGGAACATTTGATGCTTGTTCTGTTCTGTTCCTCTCACTATGAAAAATCTACCATTGGCCACTGTTGGAAGACAAAATACTGGGCTAGAATGAACCATTGGTCTCACCTGCATGATCATTCATATGTCCTTATCTTTCACTCATTCCAACAACTCTAACAAATACAAATACAAAATGTTTCCTTTGGAACATAAACAATGTCTTCCCCATTGGTCTACTTACTGTGCAGATAATCAGCCAGGTCACCACCATTGCAGTACTGGAAATTCAAGAGAATAACAAAAGCTTAATTTACATTAGGCAGGCTGGCAGAATTTAAAGAATAGAGGAAGCAAAAGTAAGTATGGAAAATCCACAATGATGTTAATATTTTATTACATGTAAGAATAAAATGGAGCAAACATGGAGAGGTATACATAAAACCCAAAAGGTCACTGTCAGAATGAAAAGCCTAATACAGAACTGGAATCAGGAAAGGAATCTGAGTGACTACAGGTATTCAAAGCTCATTCAGTTATGTCCTGTAAGATCTCAGTTTGAAGAGAGCGTAAGGTATATATGATATCTGGCAGCACTACAACTATAACGTGTGGAGAAAATTGTTCTTTCCATTAAATTGCTCATAAGTGAATTGAAAGTGGTAATGTGTATTCCCCTTTAAGATAAAACGTCTTCCCGGTCAAGCCTACACTTAAAAAGAGCTTTGGCAATAGAGAGATTTAAAAAACCAACTGTTTAAGCTGTGCTGTGCTTGATCTTAGTGCTCTTCACCTCTCCTTCAGCCTCATGGACATGCACCTGCAGATTTGATAGCAAGAAGAGCGCCAACCAGGGGTGAAAGTAATTTAAATGTCTTACAGGTACTGTCATATCACAACTCACCCTCCCTTAAGGAAGGGTCAGGGCAGTGGGTTAGGCAGCTACAATCAATACTTCTAGTAAGAAATTTAAGCGAGAGGTAGACTATAAGGGACTTCAGGATAAGGGGTTGAGGTGGGTGGGGGGATCCCATGGTATGGAGTGGATATGTAGAAGGATGCAAGAGTCAGGGCTGGGAGCTGGATGTGTGGGGGGCTCAGGGCAGGAGCATAGTGGGGGTGAAGGTGTGAGAAATCGGGGTTGGAAGGTGTGGAGGGTACAGTGTGTCAAAATAACTCACCTCCATAACCAAGTAGACAGAGTTTGCCAGTTCCTGGGGGAAAGAAAAAACAAAAGACGTAAGCATTTGAAGGTTTCAGAAAACGTAAAGCCATTGTGCACCTGAAAGGAAACGTCATTTAGTACATTTTGGAAGGTAAAACCTTATATCTGCCTCATTCTCCCCAAACCACAGATGGGGAAACTTGAAATCGGCATTACGAGGAGTAATTCTTGATTTAGCAGCATATCTTTCTGCCTTATTTCTAAATAAACATGAATTTAGAGCAATATTTAAAAACACCAACAAATTAAAGAGCTTGCAGCTAAGATTCTCTCCAAATGTGGAATTTGGTGAGAACCAAGTTTGGCATCAAGTCCCAAATGGACAGCTGTTCTTCTAGAGTTTGTTATGTGCACTGCCTTGTAATGCTCTCTTCACCAGCTATTTAAACAGTAATTCAGTGCAAGTAACATCTCACTCTCAACAATTATAAGAAAGTAAACCAAAGGTTTTATCCTACCTTTTCCCCTGCTGAATGGGTTATTCTCAATCTCCTTGCCCCAGAAAAAGCTGGACAGGTGTAACAGATTCAATAGAACCAATTATAATACAGGTTGGACCTCCCTGGTCCAGTACCCTTCAGACCTAATGAGAAACTTTGTCCCAGATGAGGAACAGATAAGGGAAGATCATTGCTGCTCCCCACCCCCCCCCCGAGCCATGGCCTGGCTGCCAGCCTCCCAGTCAGTCCCGCCCCACTGCTGACACCTCTGCACATATAACTCCTGGCCCCATTATGGCAGGCCTGCCACCACACTCACAGCCCCACTGCTCCATGGGGCAGCCCCTCTGCTGGGGTTCAGTTGTGCCGCCAGGCGGCAGCCCTGCTGCCACCTGGCTCGCAGGGCTGCCGGACTCTGCTGCATCTGCTAGGCAGCCCCACTCCTGTGTTCCTGACCCTGGCACCAGATAGCCCTGCGGTCAGGCTCCCAGTAGCCAGGCTGCTGGGCTCCTGATTGTGCTGCCGGAGAGCCCCACTGATGACTCCCAGTATCACTGGACACCCCTTCTGCCTCCTGGCCTTAATGGGTACTTTCGCTGATAGGCAGTAGCCTTGCTGCCAAGTGGCAGTCCTGCTGCTGGGATCCAGACTTGCTGCCTTTCACGGCCCTGCAGTTTTGCCACTGGGTTGCAGTCCTGCTGCTGGACTCCTGGTTTTGCTGCTAAAGGACAGCCCCGCAACTGGGCTCTAGCCCCTCTGCCAGGTCTCCCAGTTACCAGTCCTCCACCTGAACATCTCTGGTCCTTCTAGACCAGGGATGTTGCTGGACCAGAGAGTCCCACTTAAGAGAGGTTCAACTCATAGTAGGTACACTAGTATTTTCTATCAGAGTAAGGAAATCTAGACTGAACCAAAGATACAAGCTCTTCCAAATTTCTGGAGCAATTCAATTCATGATCAGGTCTTCTATAGAATGAGCAATATGGTCATCAAAAAATGGGACCATTACCAAGGTAGAGGTGACTTCCACTCTTCAACAATGGCTCTAGTTTTGCCTCGTCACTCCTGTGTCTCCTTTAACATATTATTATTGAGGTTAGAATATAAGAACATAAGAACGGCCATACTGGATCAGAGCAAAGGTCCATCTAGCCCAGTATCATGTCTACCAACAGTGGCCAATGCTAGGTTACCCCAGTGGGAATGAACAGAAGAGGTAATCATCAGGTGATCCATCCCATATTACCCATTACCAGCTTCGGACAAATAGAGGCAAGGGACACTGTTCCAGCCCATTCTGGTTAATAACCATTGATGGACCTAACCATAAAGTCTTGGCCTTCACAACTAGGTACTGCTTCTAGACTTAAGTCAGAGCTCCATAGTGCTAGAAACTGTACAAACAAGTAAACCAGACTGGCCCAGCCCCAGAAAGCTCACAGTCTAGGGCAAGGATAAGACTAAGCACAGGGTTGGGGCGGGACAAGGTAACTATGAGAGTATTTGCAAAACTACAGTCAGTGGCACTTCATTGCTAAAAACATGCCTATTCTAAGTTGTAGGCATCTCTACAAGAACACACACAAAAGTCTTATTAATCTAAGGATAACATTTTTCAGAAGTGCATAATTTAGGAGCTTAAGTTCCACTGACTTCCAATTAGCCTTTGGCACCTTAGTCACTTCTGAAAATATTACCTTAATTAATCACCAGCAAGAGGCTCTTCTTCACCCTCCCAGCCCCAGGTTCCTCAACTTTAGTCTATTTACAGATTCGGTTAATAAGCCTTCCCATTGTCTCTTAAATCAAGTAGGAAACATCTGTCCATATCCTAAAAGTCACACTCAGCTCAAGCAAGGCTGCACTGGAAAACAAAGGTTGCAATGACCTGTCTATGTGGAGGTGATTGGACATCTGGGGTAGAATCCCTCTACTTAGTCCCAAAGCCTTACCTACAAAATCATTCAGCATCTGCTATTCTGTTCCCCTCTCTTTGCAAGGCTTCCACTTCAAAAGGCACCAATATCCACCTACTGCCCTCAAAATTTTAGCTTTAAAAACAGCCTCAGCTCCTCCCCGTTGCTCCTTTCACCCCTGCCTGCTGAAAGGACTCAGTAGTCTATCACTACAAATCCTTTTGTCCAGGCCTTTGCCTACCTCTTCATAATTCTGATTCAGACATAGACTGTGTCTAGACTGCATCCTTTTTCCGTAAAAGGGATGCAAATTAGACACACTGCAATTGCAAATAAAGCAGGGATTCAAATCCCGCCTGCTTCATTTGCATAAAAATGGCTGCTGCTTTTTTCCAGCTCGGAGTTTTGCCGGAAAAAAGCGCCAGTCTAGACGCGGATCTTTCGGAAAATAAAGCCTTTTCTGAAAGATCCCTTATTCCTTATTTTAAGAGGAAAAGGGATGCAGTCTGGACACAGCCATATAGTAAAAGTGACATTGAGATTTTCAAGGGTTGCAAGCAAGAGTTAAATATATTTTCGTTAAAGTGGCAAGGAGTCCTGTGGCACCTTATAGACTAACAGAAGTGTTGGAGCATAAGTTTTCGTGGGCAAAGACCTGACAAAGTGGGTCTTTGCCACAAAAGCTTATACTTCAACACTTCTGTTAGTCTATAAGGTGCCACAGGACTCCCCACCACTTTTGCAGATTCAGACTAACACAGCTACCCTTCTGATATATTTTTGTTGACTTTTAACTACCTGTAATGCATGGAAGCCCAGAAACAGAAGCAAGCAAAGTAAGTGGCCTCTCCCAGACAATACATTAAGAGGGGATGAAAATGATAAACAGCCTGGCAGTGAGGGTTCCAAGCATTCCCTTGGTTCAATGTGCTCACCAGACCAAAGGGTTGGCATTTGGTGACTCTCACAGCAGTTCCAGCAACCAAGCCAAGCTGAACTTTAAAAGGTCTCTCGTGTTCAGCCACTGAACAATTTACTGTGATAATTTCAAGAACATCTTTGCTGTGTTTCCATGGAGGACAAGAAGCACATGAGACAGGGTGTGGATTTCTGACCTCCGCATTTAAAGGAAACACACACTTCCAGTCAACCTGCTTTCATGCTTTATGCAAAAGTACTGGGGAAAAGGTTTATGCTTTCAGCACTGACTGGGAGATGGAAGATCTACGTATTATTCCCAGATCTGAACAAACTTCCTGAATAGCCAAAAACAAGTCACTCAACACCCAATTTTCAGAAATGCTGAACACCCAGCAATGGTTATGAACTTCTACTGAAACTGAGGAAGAATAGAACATCTAAAAAAATAAAATAAAATAAAAAGAATTAAGGCCCTTAAATCTCATTGTGCCTTAATATCACTGTCTAAACAATACTACTTACTTAATTAGCAATGTTGTGAGCAGTGTTCCTGTATCCCGAGTGCTTGGGGGGCTCTCCAGGAGAAATTCAAATGCTGCCCAGCTGATTAGCAGAGCTGGCAGCATGTGTTTCTACTGCTGGTGCACATCCACACATACCTTGGTGCACATAGCAAAATATATTTTGCACATGGATGGAAAAAATTAGAGGGCACACTGGTTGTAAAGACAAAGAATTTGTCTGCACTGTGGTTTTTGAAGCTGGGACATGACCATGTTGCTAAAAGTCAGGCAATATAAATGCTGATTGTCAGCACTTTTGATTACAAATTACTTGTACTACATAGGAGCGGGGTTCCCGTAGTCCACAGGAAAGTGCTCCTACCATCAATAAGCCGCTATTTACACTGCCACTTTCTGTGGGAAAATTTTTATCTTTTGGGGTGATGGGTGGGGGTTAAGCTCCTGTGAAAGACAAAAGTTTTGTGGTTCAATTGGCAATGTAGGCGAAGGCTAATTAATTACCAGTATAGCATACCAAGATCCTCTGATGGAGGCATATTCAAATTTATGCAAGTAAAGAATCACACATGCTTGGAAACCATCTTATAACTGATTAGACAGGAGCTAGTATGGATGGGACAGATCTATTAGGTTATATAGTTTGATCTTCCACCTTTGTATTTTCTTTTAAAGTTAGTGGAAATGTAACAAGGAAGGGATATGGTTCAGAAGTTAGTGTGTATACACCAGGAGTTGGCAACCTTTCCGAAGTGGCATGCCAAGACTTAGCCCTTCTGCCTTGGGCCGCACCACTCTCCTGGGAGGCTGGAAGGGGCTCTCTCTACTACACGCCCAGCTTGCTCTCCTGCCCTGGGGCTCCACTCTGGCTTTTTCTGTGGGGAGAGGAGGAGCAACACGCACACGCTTCCCTGCAAACCTGATCCGGCTCAGAGCCTTGGGGATCCCCACCCCCGAAACTGCCTCTGGTTCTAATCTTGCGGGGGGCACAAAGCTGGATCACAAGCATGGGCTCCCCATTGCAGGTGGTGGGTCGAGGAGGAGCCTGTTCATTGTGCGTGGCACTGAAGATCATCTTGCATGCCACTTATGGCACATGTGCTGTACATTGCTGAGCCAGAGAATATACCATACTTAAGCAAAAAGGCTGTATAAGTGCCTTCACAGATAGGAGTAAGAAACTCCATGCAT